TTCTCCTACAGCAGGAGGGGTTTTGCCCTCCTGGTCCCCCTCATGCCATCCATCAACTCGAGAGGGGTGAGGAGAGAGGCTGCCAAGTGAAGACTGAGGCAAAAAAGGTGTTGAGTACCTCAGCCTTCTCCTCATCTGCTGTTACCAGCTTGCCCATCTTGCTCATCAGCGGGGGGACGCTTTCTTTAACCATCCTTTTCCGGCTGATATACCTGTAGAATCCCTTCTTATTATTCTTTGCATCCCTAGCCAAGTTTAGCTCCAGCCGTGCCTTGGCCTTCCTGACCCCATACCTACACAACTGGACCGCGTCCCTGTGCTCTTCCCAGGATGCCTGTCCCTGCTTCCACTGCCTGTGCAGTTTGCTCTTCCTCCTTAGTTTGACAAGCAACTCTTGTCTCAACCACGCCGGTCTCTTCCCTTCCTTGCCCGATTAATGTGTATGTGGTGTATATAAAAGCACAATGAGATACTGCAACAGGAAGAGGGAATAAAATGCCAAAGAACTTGATGAAACACTGGTTTCAGAACTAAAACTTAAGAAAAAAGAGGCTTTGCCTTCACAAATACAGCTCTCACAAGGAGAAAAAGATGAGCCAAAGCATCAGTAAATCAGCTACTAAGAACAAAACCAACTGGAAACAAAGCAAGCTGGGAGGCTAAGATTTATACATGCAGAAACAAGCATTTATAATTAATCAGGGAGAAGAAGGGCACCTATTTCATTAACTCAAACTGATATGAGTCCTTACTGCAAAGAAAAGGAGCAGCTCTGCCTTGCATGCTCCTACTGCTCCCCACCTTCACGCTTGCAGTGCAGCACGAGGCACATTTTGATTATCTGTTGCTCATTTCCTAATTATATCTGGAAATCCCACCCCCAGTCTCTATTTTTGAAAATACACCCCCTCACATACACAGTCTCCGAGTAACATGCATCATTAATTCTTAATTCATTAATTCTTTTCTCTTTTCATATTCTTCTTCACCACTTTGAAATAATCTTCAGGAACAAAGAAACCACTTACACTAGCCACAAAAAGGCTTTTTTATTGTAGGACATGAGATTAACGGCTAACTACATATTAATAAGTGGGGTAAAAGTTCATAAATAAGACCCCTAA